AATTTTGGGGGGGTAAAACCCCCCCCCCCCCCCCCAATTTAAAAATTATGAATTCATGATCCTAACCAATACGCGATTCAGTGTTTGTCTATACTGTATACATATGAATCATATATCAAACATATATACTGGTAAACCTATATAGAACCTGGTAATCGTCTAAATGCAAGGCATGCCTTACGCAACTCCACTGATTAGAAGATAATACTATATGTCAGCTTAGGTTTGTTTCAAACGCAGAACTTTTTATAGACTTCAGTTCACCTCATTATCATGTAAAGTTCAATGTTTGAAATTTTCAAAATAAAATACTGATCAATCAACTTAATTGACTCATAAATCAGTTATTCCATTTACATGTAATGAATAGCTCTATCAGTTGTTTTCGTAGAGGCAAACAGTCTTCTTCCATGCAACTGAGGAGGAGTTATGATCAGACTATACAGCTCATTGCTAGAATACGGATGTAAACATTGCCACAGAAGTGAAAAATTACTTCCACAAACCGTCACCAATAGCTCATAATTTAAATTGAAATATTTTTCTTTGTACTTACAGAACACAGCGCCAACGTAAAGCTGACATAAATAGTTTGATAATTGCTTTTACAAAGGAACTTATTGCCCACAGATGATCCAGAATAGAGCATATTTCTAAATTTAGTTCGTTTTTTTTTTACTATTGGATTTATTTATACATTTCTGAAAGTATTCCTTTCAGCATTCCGCGGCAAATATAATTTGAGGGAATCAGCGTCCTCTATACTCCTAAATTGTGCATAATTATATCCATTGGGTACAAAGAGTCTTTCCTGAGAAAATATTATAAGGATTCTTGGCACTTATGCTAACTATCTATTTCAATGGTCACTTGAATAGAATAGTCTGAAAGTCGAGATGTATGCGACAGCATGGCCAGACTGATTGTAAATATTCTTGATGTTTCCTTTGCTTGAAAATAATGCAAGTCAACAAGGTTTTGAGTGGTTAGGAGTGATCTAGTAGTCTGCATGGCAGCTGACTTTCTCAGTGTCACGCAGGCTAGAATGTTGTGCAGTACTATAGAATTATAAAATTTTGCCTTCTGTACTCTGTAGTAACTGGGCCAATATGCAAAGGACAGAATTAGATGGTCCTTACTGGGCCACTGAGGAAAACAATTTACAAAATGTAGAACTGATAGAATTAACCAGCATATCAATAAAATTAGCTCCAGTTTTTAAAAAAAAAATTGTAAATACAAAGCACTATACCTCTAGTTATAGGTGGGTCACCCTCTGCCATACCATACCATACCATACCATACCATACCATACCATACCATACCATACCATACCACCCCACCCAGTTATGTATATAGAGTACATCGCTCAGGCCACACGAACAGGGGTAAAAAATGTTTTGTCACCCAAGTGGCTACCAGTACAGTGGAACCCCGTTAATTCGCCATATTTAATATCAGGTCTCCCATATAAATAGCATAGGAAAAACAGTTATTAAATATATTGGCAAATTATATGTAAAAGCAAAATGAAATACCTGATAACCGAGATATTTTATGGCTCCAGAATTACTTCATTATTTCCGGGGGCTACCTTTGGAAAATATCTGGTCGCGCGATAAAACATTTTGTCGCAATTGGGGACCTGGTGCCCGTCCATTTCAAACTCTGCACATCAGGTGCACGGAATACGGTAGATACTTTATACTGAGGCCAAGAAATAGTACGTTATTAACAGTCTGATTTTATAATCGCATTACAGTACCATTGTAGGATGTAATTGTCTTGCAGGTTTGTTGTTTAAATTATATCAAATTGGCGATCAGTCAAAGAGCGAGGTGGCACTGTCTGGGCTTAGGATAATACGTTTAATGCTATTTTCTGGCTTAGTATAATGCGATGTTAATACAAGCTTCGACATGCCTTTCACACAAGATCAAATTAACAGACTAAACTTTGACCTTCTTGAAACTTTTTAAATGTACATACCAATATCCTGCTAGCAAGAAAAACAACTTAATACTAACTTAAATTTGAAAAAAATCTTCCAAAACTTTTCCGACACCTCTGTAAGACCTGTAACTTTAAACGCGCATGAAAATCAGCGACTTATTGGCAGTAATCTTAAAACATATAAAACCAAAACAATGACTTGTTTGCTACACTTTACCGTAGACAGATTGCGGTCACACAGTTTATATTAATAGCACAGTTTTTAACTCTCTAAACATAGATTTGAATCTGTGCCATTTCGCTGAGCAATCATATAATGGGGCTCAGTCAATTTTGGTTTCGCTTTATTTTGCCTTATTTATAACAAATTCCTCACTAATGTAAACTTGTCCTTGCGCCTATAAGCCTTTCTTCACCCCAAAATTCCACCAATATATAATCAAAAACGTTGTCGACTATATCTTGAAATAATTTAGTAGTTCGCCTTATTTAATATTCAGCGCATGTACTATCTACGCACGCGCAATGAGTTCACCCATCTTTGGGTGTCAATTTGTGGCAACAGTAAATTCCGATAGTGTAGGTTTGCTTGGTATAAAGGTTCAAATCCGGCCTCGGTATCTTACAATGAATATATGTAATGTACGTACTTTTTTATATGACGTTATTTATTACATCTTTCAGAATGGAACCGAACTCTCTGAGCGAATACAATCAAATCCTTATAAGTTATAAAATTAGATCATCAGAATTGTTTAAAAACATGCTTATATGCATATGGCGAAAACTTTTTATAGTTTTAGGAATTAGTTCCTTTCTCACGTCAGTTTTCGATGAATTGTTTTACCTTACATTAGTTCAAGATATTTCGGAGTTGAATTTAATTCATGATTTGTTTTGCGATTTGCCACTAACCGGTTTCTCATTTCTTGGCTTTCTTGTCCGTCAACCCTGCACCAGCGTTGAATTTGAAGAAAATAACATCCCCATCGTGAACGACGTAGTTTTTGCCTTCCTGGTGATATTTTCCAGCAGCCTTGAGAAATTTTAAATTAATACAACCGCATAAATTATCGTTACTAAAGCCTGGTTTCCATTTAGTCGTAACTATCGTAAACATATCAAGGTAACCGATGTCATAGAGTGACTGTCGTTATGACGACTGATTTGCATACAGTACACAGAAGATATGCACAACGTAGATAGATCTAGACTATTTCACATCGTCGAAGATGACTTGGTCACGACAGTTACGACCAAATGGAAACCAGGCTTAAGTTTAGGAGGTACTGAAGACAGTCATGGTGCGATAATTCAAGGCGATGTTCCAATGACAATTGCCGCGTACTTGAGCAAGTACAAAAATTCTATGTGAAAAGTTAGGATTCAAGGTCATGTTTTCTAAAAGGTATTCATTTCCCCGTTTCCATCCTATAAGTCCAAACATATTTCATGTCAAGGCATGTAAGTGCGCAAATTATCGCACTCTGAAGTGAAGATGAAGGAATCAAAAGTAAATGTGGAGTTGTATACATTGCAGAGAAGGTGAGGGAAGCAAGGTTGAGATGGTATGGTCATGTAACTAGAAGAGATAAAGGAGAACCAGTCAGACACGTAAAATGAAGAGATCAGAAGAAGATGTGGAGTGGTAGACTTTGCAGAGAAGGTGAGGGAAGCAAGGTTGAGATGGTATGGACATTTAATAAGAAGAGATGAAGGAGAGCTAGTCAGAGACATCATGGAATGAAGAGATCAGAAGGAGATGTGGAGTGATAGACATTGCAGGGAAGATGAAGGAAGAAAGAATGAGATGGCCATGTATTGGGAAGAGATGAATGAGAACCAAATAGAAAATTCAAGGAGCTGGGCATAGGGAAACACGGGACGACGGAGACGGCAGAAAAATCAGAATGGCTTCTCGTTTCAATGTATGTTAATGCCCGCGCAGGATTGTACGTACCTTTACAGCATGTTCAGTTCCAAGTTCTTTTAAATCATCAAATTTCATTACCTAAAAAACAAGAGAGATTAATTTAACAGGTCTTAACTAAACCATGTGGTCACATACCGTTCACTTATAATATCAACACAGGGCTCAAAATAACTGGAAATAGGTCTCCGGTAACTTGATTTTAGATTTTTGAAACAAACTATTAGAAATTTGTTTCGATACATCATACTTTCATGTTTCAATTTAAGACGTCAGCAATCACATTGGAAGGCATGAAAATGTGGCCGGACAAAATGACTGGTGAGGTAAAAAAGTGAGCGGTCAAGAGGCATTTTTGGCCGGTGATTGTCCGTTGACCGGCCGTTATTTTGAGTCCCGTCAACATTACCTCAGCCATGATAAATCCTTTTTCAAAATCTGTGTGAATCCTGCCCGCGGCCTGTGGTGCTTTAGTAGCCTTCTGTATGGTCCACGCTTTCACTTCATCCTTGCCAGCCGTGAAGAAATATTGTAATTGTAATGTCTTGAAACCCGTTACGATTATCTTTTCTAAGGCACTGTGGCAAACAAAATGAAAGAGTTTATAAATCCAGGGGTCGAAATTTAAATTTTTTGTACTATACAGCCGGAATAGTAGATTTTTATATTTACTATTCCGTCTGAAAATCCACTATTCCTTAATGTACTGTTTCTGAGAGCCTGCTAATGCAGGGTCCGCGCCAATGTTCTGATTTTCGTGAAATCATCCTTGGGACTCCTAAAGTGAACTGAATAATTGTAAAACAAACATGTACAATACATTGCTCTGTACAGTGAGCAACAAATTATAATAAAAAACAAAGTTCAAACACTGAAATGAACTTGCAAACTTTATTGGTGCAAAGAAATTAGAATATGCAAGTATTACAAGCGAACAAGACTTAGCTACGAAGTGGAACAGTGGCTCAAAGTCCGGTATAAAATGATATATTATACAAGAGGAAAACCCTAGCTTGCTTGTCAATATTTGGTATCATAATTTTTTCTACTATACAAACGGAATACTGTGATCATGAAGTTTACTATTAGTATATTCGGAATAGCGGGAATTTCGACCCCTTAAATCGATCGTGTTATATGGGGATGTTTCAGTAATAATGTTAAGTAGAATGGTTTTGAAGATGGGAATATTCGAGTGTAAATTTTATCATTTATTAAACCTAACCAGAAACAGCTGCGAAAAATACAACTATAGGGTGTCTAAGAAAAAAACGCTATGGAAATTCAATAGGCTGCCGTGCATCATCAACTTTGCTAAACAATTCAATTTTTACATAGGACGAAAGAGCTGTTATTTTGCTTTTCTATGATACCTTTTTTAAACCGTAACGATGAGAAATGGCCACATACTCGTCAAATAGGGCCGTTAAACGGCCCAAAAACTCAATCTTGAATTGAGTTTTGAAACTCAATCTTCTCACCAAAGTTTCAGTGCAGTAAAAATGAAGTTGTTTGAGTTAAATTCGTGACGTGTGGAAATTAGTTTTCAGTTGGAAACCCGACAATTAAGAAAAAATGGCTGGAATTCATCTCACAACACAAGAAAAACTATGCATGCGCCATCTTTAACCAGTTTATAGTGTCCCTTAGTGCCCCTGCTTTAACACATTCCGTCTCAACTACATTTATGGAGTACAGGTGTCAGCCCCCTGGTAGGGGGGGGGGTGGAGGGGGGTGGTGCAGCCACTGCAGCTGTTCGGCTAAACTCAA